TCTGTGATTCTATGATAATGCCTCTGGTATCTGGGGACTCCAAAACACAAAAAGCAATGCTCCTGGGAAGCCTGTTCTCAGTCACCTTTTTTTCTACCAGTAACTGGGACCCAGGAGTCATGGATGGCACAAAGGACTGACCATTGTACAATCCACTGCTACTCCAGGACTCACCGTTGTAGTTGCCATGTTTGCTCCTACTGCTCTGGCCCAGTCTAAAGACTTTTTGCATCTCTGAGGTAAATGGAGCCTTGAATGCAAATCCACAGGATCCCTAATATTAGACTTAGATTCCCATCTTCATGAATCTGTGAAAGACAAAGCTACAGGAACATTCTCCAGAAATGCCCAGAGCTGGGAACAGAACAAACCAAGGGAGATTGCAGCAAAGGGGGCAGTAACTGATTCAACTCAAGATAACAGTTGTTATCAGAGAAGCTCATAAATCCACCCAATTTAAACAGAGTGTCAGGCAGCATCCCGTCCTGCATTGTGCGTCGCCTCAAGGGACCTACGGCTGCTTGTTCTGATCAACAACTTCCATTCTATCTTTTGGGTTCCCAAATGTCACTATTTCCTGGAGACATTTCGGGGTTGCTAATTCTGAGTGCCTGTGTGGCCTTAGGGATAAGGAACACAACTTGTTACTGTTCCAATAAACAGCCCCAAATCACTAGTTGGCTGTCACTCAAGTGGCTGGGAACTGCAATAATGAGTAAAACAACTTATATTGACAAAAATAACTTGCCAGAAGTCTGGAGGATGTTTAAATGTTACTTTGTCATCTGATTTTCTAATCTGAAGTGTCTGTTGGAACATGAAAAGTCTCCATTAAGAAACAGGGCCAGTGTCTCTCCTGGGACTTGTCACTAGCCACCTCATAGCCCCATGCTCCTTGAAGCAGGAACGCTCAGATAACATCACCTTTGCTGCATCACTGTCACCCTTTTGATGTCATCACTGCACTGGCAGAGTTACCCTCCATCTTGGCAGATAAAGATTACTTGAGGAGAAGGACATGAGACCACACCATGGTAATCTATGTATCTTAACTCTGGTTTTGACTCAAGCATTTGTTTTGAGGTACTATGGCTTAAAAAAAATATATTCAGCAGACCTTTGGGAGAAAATTTAGTTTTACTGTTTGGAAAAAAAACAAACCCAGAGCTTTGTCATGAAAAACCAGATTTGCTGTTAAAGAATGATGTATATGTGAGAAGATGGGCATCCCTGGCAAGTAGTTAATCCCAAGTATGTTGTTAAGCTGACTCTCACATGTTCCAAGTTATTTCTCAACAACTCCTTCCTGCTACATGAAAAATTAAAAAAAAATAACTAAAAATTGTATTATGAGCAGCCACCCTGTGCTGCAACAATTACTAGGAACAAGAGGGCATCATGACTGTGCTATAATTCCAGCAACTTTATTAGGGAGAAATCTGTGGATTTCTTTCAGCCACGTTTTATCTCTTCCAGCAGAGTTTCCAGTACACACCAGTAAGAGCATAATGGGATTTTGCCTCCACTTTTATGACTTTTCCATGACCTTGCAGAACAAGGGCTAGATGTTGAAGTGACCTCATAAAATACTCTCTTAGGAGAACACCATGTCATATACTCCTGGGAAGAATTGTCCAGAACAGGATGCTGGGAATAACTCTGACATTCTGGATGAACCTACAAAACAAGACTGAGCTTCATATGGCAGAATAAACCACCTTCCCCTCTCCACCCCCCCACATACTCTGCAGGCTGCCACAGAGATTCAATGCATCTGCTTGATTGACACCAAGTCCCACAGGTTCATGCCTCTGCCTCCACATTGTGGGGTGAGCTCAGTGGTTCTGACTTGGGGAGAATTTCAAGGAAAGTCACACTGAGACCTGGAGGAAGGTGCTGCTGTCTGCTGGAAGAGATTGGGAACGGAGAGGTTTTGTGCCTTTTTATATGATATGAGGCCCAGACATTCAGGTCACCTTGCACTCATGGCACTGCCACCTCTTCTTGGTAAATGCATGGGCAGTCACAGCTGCATGTGTACCTTCTAACCAGCAGCACCACATTCATCTGCACTGTCTGATAGGGGTTAATCTTGAAAAGAAGTAGTGCTTTCCTTTCTGCTCCTTAGGAATAACCTGAGCAGGAACAGCAGTATCACTTGCACTGAACACATAGCTGGAATCCTTTTGATGAAGTCCAAGACACAGGACAGCTTCCTATGAACACTTCCCCAATGGTCTGGCTGCCTCCAGGGCAGACCTGACTGTCTGGTTCCCATCATAGTGAAATTTCAGAAGGAATTTTATTTGTTCCAGCTGGCTTTAATTGGACACCTGGGTTAATAACAAGGAGATTCTCAAGGTTGGCATCAGAGTTGGGAAGGAAAAGGAGTCATTTTGAAGTCTTTCCTTAATCCCAGCCTCTTTGTTAGAAATGTTGGTGTTATTTAATTGACTGTTAAATCCAAATCACATGAGCACCCTCCCTGTGTGTAATCTCCTGTGATAAATTGCCCAGTACTTGTTTCAGAGGCACATTCTGGTCTCCAGTCTCCGTGGGGCTGGAATGCCGTGTGGTTACAGCTGCGTTTTGAGGAGGGAACAAGGAGGGAATGGGTGTTATTTCAGTTTAAATTGATTTTAAAAGACAATTGACTCCAGATTTGGAGAAGGACACCGTCTGTAGTCTGCTTGAGGTCTGTGTAGCTGTAGGTGTTTTTCCATGTTTCTCAGCAAATGCTTACAGGGGCCAGGTCTTATCAAAGGCAAGTTGGTACAGCCAGC